AATAGACAAAGTCTTCCAACAAACTCATTCTCCAATTAAATTTCTACCAAACTAAAATAATATTTATAACTCCACAACTCCAAATATTATTTTAAGCTTTTCATGGTAGTACATTTGAAACTTTAATCTCCATTACTATATAATTCTCCAACATGGGCGGCCACCGTCATCCGCCGCGGAACCACCGTCATCCGCCCCACTGTAACAAGACCGTCCCACTTCATGCAAACCAATATCTTATGGAGACTCAGCAGCTCAATATTTCCTCAAATGAACAACTCTCTTTCGGGTAGTAGGGGGTAAGATGATGCTTAACCATTTAGCCAACAAGGGATGGAGTTGTTGTGTATGAAATATGTACAGACTTTGTACCCATTCCACTGCATAGATGCCTGGCGATGTGAGATGCAAATACATTACATAGAACAAGAAGCATACACTTCAATGTTGCGTGCCTTAAAGCTCCAGCCGATGCCATTGCTTGGGAGCAAGAAAGTTTAATTACTGAACTTGAGAAAGAGTAGAGAGAGAGGATGAGGGGAAGAAAGGAAAAAAGCTGGTGTCAACATCTACTACAACAAATAACACTGGCCAGGCAACAATGAAGAGGATGGCTTACCCGCAGCTGTGACCATTGATGGCGTCCGTTGATTCAAATAGTTTGCCGTAGAAAAGAGTAAGGACCTAAGGTTGTGAGCTATCTACGCTAAGTAATATGAAACTCCATTATCCATTTTCTACTTGCCTGCAGCTGTTTCTTTCGCCAAAAGACTGCCCTTTGCGAGGAGATGTTGGAATACACAGAATATACATGCTAAGACCGCAGGTGCTATGTATGCGTTTAATACTTTCTGCAGTCCTATATATTTCTTCTTATTTGCAGTGTTAGGTATCTCATCTGTCAGGCACATAAAAGCGCACACAATCCTCTAATTTGTCTTTCACATAATATAGAATCAGCGCGCGACACGGTCCAGATCTAATAACTTAAAAAAAAAACGCGGTGGCATTTTCGTAAATAATTGAACATCGAAGTGCAAGTAAAATCACTTACAAGTGCACCTACTTTCACCTATAAGTGCATGTAATTTTGCCTTGTTAGCATTCACTTTCCGCAAATATTCATGCACCTGGGTGTGCTTATAACTATATTTGCAACTATTTATAAGTATAGGTGCAACTACTTATAACTATAGGTGCACCTCCTTTCACCTATAAGTGCATGTAATTTTGCCCTGTTAACATTCATTGATCCGAGTTCAGCGGGTAGTAATATCCCTGAAAACCACTCGCAAACATTCATACACCTAGGTGCAACTACTTATAACTATGTGTGCAACTACTTAGAACTATAGGTGCAACTACTTAGAGCTATAGGTGCAACTAAGTATTGATGCTCAGTGTAAATTTTTACTTGCACCGATAATACATTTTACATGCACTTGTAATACATTTTACTTGCACTTCGATGTTCAATTATTTACGAAAATGCCACCGTATTTTTTTAAAAAATCAGTGTTTCTCATTCATTAGATCTGGACACGTGGACGGACAGAATCCATTCCTATTTCGCGCCTGGGCGAAGCATTCGCACCTGAGTGCGATTATATATATATATATATATATATATATATATATATATATATATATATATATATATACTCATCTACGAAAAGAGCTACAGGCATGTGAACCTTCAATTCTCCTCGTTTCTTGTTCATAATGACAATATATATATTCATCTAATCTACGAAATGAGATAAAGGCACGTGAACCTTCTCCTCGTTTCCTGTTCATAATGACAATATATATATTCATCTGATCTACGAAATGAGATAAAGGCACGTGAACCTTCTCCTCGTTTCTTGTTCATAATGACTTTATTGTCATTTTATTATTATTATTATTATTATTATTATTATTATTAGCATATGCGAGAATATTTTTTAGATACTTTCTTGAGATATCGACTTCGCAAAATCTCAAGAAAGTGGGGGACTAGATGATGGATGGTATACTAGGCCTGTGCCACATGGACCGGCCCAAGAAAGCAACCGGATCAAGGAAGCCCAAGAAGGATACCTAGTACGGAACAACCCAAGAGTTCGTTAAGGATTGGACTTATTATTCCTGATATGATCAGAATTGAACTCACTATTTCTAGTATAATAGATTTAGGTCTCATTATGTAACTAAGACTCCCAATATGAGGCAGTGTAGAATTCTTATTCCTTGTAGGGCTCTAGGCCCAAAATATGTATAAATAGACCCCTCACATAGGAGGTGGGGGAGGACTTTCATTCTTCACCAGCAATACTCATTAATACAAAGTTCCTATATTTTCTCCATATATTTTCCCTATATTTTTCCTATATTCTCGTTATTCTAACAGTAGTGTTGGCCTGCCGTTGACTGCTTAAAAGTCATAAAACCAACACATGGTTAATGGTAGATGCTCCAAATACTATCCAAAAGAAATTTGTAGAGAAATCAACAATGGATGAAGACGGCTATCCTGTGTACCGTAGGAGTGACAACGATAGGACCATAAAGAAAAACGGTATTGATCTAGATAGCAGCTATGTCGTTCCACACAACAGACATTTATTGGTGAAGTATAGGGCTCATATAAATGTGGAGTGGTGCAATCAATCCAGATCAATTAAGTACTTAATTTAGGGTGTGTTTGGAAACCCGGAAAATGATTTCTGGAAATCATTTTCCGGGTTTTTGGTGTTTGGCTAGGCTGGAAAATGAGAAGTCAAAGGAAAATGAGACATGATCAATGGAAAATGAGCTCAATTTTCCGGAAAATGACTTCCCCTTTTTTTTTGGGGAAGTCATTTTCCGGAAGACTTCTTTGGCCTACAACAACAACCACCTTCGTCTGTCTACAACAACAATCACCGTCATCTCTGTCTACAGCAACAACTAACACTGAATTCCCCCCCAAATACTGTTCTCTGGTTTCCGCCGGAAACCAGAGAAAAGCTCTCTGGTTTCCGCCGGAAACCAGAGAGCAGTGAGCAAGTACTGCTCTCTGGTTTTCGGCGGAAACCAGAGAGCAAGTACTGTTCTCTGGTTTCCGCTTGCTCTCTGGTTTCCGCTGGAAACCAGAGAGCAGTGAGCAAGTACTGTTCTCTGGTTTCCGACGAAACCAGAGAGAACGGCGGAAAACCAGAGAGTTTTACTCTCTGGTTTTCGTTTTTTTTTTTGTTTTTTTTTTTTTTTGTTTTTTGTTATTTTTTTAATTTTTTTAGTAAACATTATTGTTATTATTGTAAATTTAATATTATTATTATTATTATTATTATTATTATTATTATTATTGTAAATTTAATAATAATAATATTATTATTATTTATAATATTATTGTAAATTTAATATATTTTAAACAAAATAATTAATTATATGAAATGTTTAATTATACAATTTTACATCATTTTCCAGAAAATGAGCCAAACAGACAAAGACAGTTTTCTATTGTGCAGCCAAACACGAGAAAGGAAAACGTTTTCCGGAAAATGACTCATTTTCCGGAAAACATTTTCTAGAAGTCATTTTCCTGCTTTCCAAACGGACCCTAAGTATGTGAACAAGGGGAATGATCGTGTTACTGCTGAATTCTACAACAGTGTAGGGGTGTAAACGAGCCGAGCTAAGCTCGAGCCTGGGTAGGCTTGAGCTCGTGCTCGTTAATGGAAGCTTGGCTCGAGTTCTAGCTCGAGCTCGGTAATTTTCGGGCTGCTCGAGCCGAGCTCGAGCAGCTCGATTGTTCGAGTTTAAACTCAAGCTCGATCTTGAGCTCGAGTTTGAGCTCAATTTTGACAATGAATTTGACATATTTAATACTTTTGGTTTACAATTCAAACTACTTTGTTTTATCCCTACATAAATAATAGAAATCTTTTAGGAATTTTGAGTTTAAAATTCTAATTTCTAATTGTTATATATATATATATATTATCATTATTATATATATTATATATTATATGACTCGCGAGCGGCTCGACGGTCCACGAGCCTAGAATATCTAGGCTCAGCTCGAGCTCGATTACCAAACAAGCCGCTCGAGCTCGACTCGAGCTTGAGCCGAGCTTTGACCGAGCCGCTCTCAAGTGGCTCGCGAGCTGCTCGGCTCATTTACACCCCTACAACTGTGTGGCTGATGAAGCTACTAGAAAGGTAATCGATGAGATCAAAATGTATTATGATTGTAGGTATATTTCACCTTGTGAGGCAGCATTGAGGATGTTCGCCTTTGATATACAGATGAGGGATCCGTCGGTAGAGCGCTTGAGCTTTCATCTACCAAATGAGCAATCAATCATATTTAATGATGATGATGTTGTCAATGATGTTGTTAACCGTTCAACTGTGAGACAAAGTATGTTCACTGCATGGTTTGATGCTAACAGCAAATACAGCGAGGCAAGAAACTTGACTTACGCAGAAATGCCAACAAATTTTGTATGGAAAAAAGATAAGAGAAAGTGGCATCCAAGGCAAAGGAAGTTTGCAATTGGTCGTATTTTTTATGTTCCGCCAAATAGCAGAGAAATCTTCTATCTTAGATGTTTACTAAATATTGTGCGTGGACCAAGATCCTTTGATGAAATTAAATATTTTGAGGGGGTGCAGTATACTTCATTTAGAGATGTCTGTTATGCACATGGTTTAATCGAGGATGATAAAGAGTATGTTGACGCGATCAGTGAAGCAGCGATATGGTTCTCAGCACATTCTTTACGTAAATTATTTGTCACTTTATTGACATCAAATTCAATGGCGAAACCAAAAAAAGTGTGGGATATTGTTTGGCAATACCTAGCTGATGATGTTGAGTTCAATGCTAAAAGAAATACAAGTAATCCAGGTAAACAATTCTTCTTCAAAACACTTACTTAAATGTACTTTTTTCCAATATATATTAAACTAATTTGTTTATAAATTATATAGATTTGATGCTCAATGACGAATAAAAGAAAAATGGGGCACTCATGGAAGTGGAGAAGTTGTTGAATGTTTGGAACAAGTCTCGAAGTGATTATCCACCAATGCCGATGCCTGTGGGAAGTCATGAATACTGTTTCGGTAATCGGTTGTTGTACGAAGAATTTACGTACGACAAAGAAGCTTTAAAGCTAGAACATGAATCACTGTTTTCTAAACTAACTGATGAACAATTACTCATATACAACAAAGTGATGGTGGATGTTGAATCTAATAAACGTGGTTTGTTCTTTGTTTATGGATATGGTGGAACTGGCAAGACATTTTTATGGAGGACACTGGCGGCTGCTTTAAGGTCAAAGGGAGAAGTTGTTTTGAATGTAGCATCAAGCGGTATAGCCTCACTACTTTTACCGGGTAGAAGGACTGCACACTCAAGGTTTTCTATCCGCATTGCAGTGAATGAAGACTCAACTTGCAACATTAGCCAAGGTAGTCCACTTGCTGAATTGATTATAAAAGCTAAGTTAATCATATGGGATGAAGCTCCAATGACGCACAAACATTGTTTTGAAGCATCAGATCGAACAATGAGAGACATATTTCGTTTCACCAATCCAAAAAGCTTAGAAATGTCTTTTGGTGGAAAAACAGTTGTACTTGGAGGTGATTTTAGACAAATACTACTAGTTATACCAAAAGGTAGCAGACAAGATATAGTACATGTAAGTATAAACTCATCATACTTGTGGAGTAATTGTGAAGTACTACGCTTAACAAAGAATTTGAGGTTGCGTGGTATTTCAAGTGCAGAAGAAGTTGAAAAGTTAAATAGTTTTGCAAAATGGATTGCTGATCTAGGAGATGGAAATTTAAGAGAAGAGAAGAATGGTATCTTCAATATAAGGATTCCAGATAATTTTGTTATAAGAAATGAAGTTCACCCTATAGCAGAAATTGTCCAAAGCACATTTCCTTCGTACGGTCAGGGTCAACTAGATCATAAACATTTAGAGTCTCGAGCTATATTAGCTCCAACATTAGATGTTGTGGACAAGGTGAATGAATACATGAACAGTATGAATGAGGCAACTTCCAAGACATATTTTAGTTGTGATTCGGTTTGCAAATTAGATACAAATGCTGATATGTTATCAGAGGTTCACACTACAAAGTTCCTGTTGGTCCCGAAAGGGTGGTAAAAAGTCTAGAGGGGGGGGGGGGGGTGAATAGACTTTTTAAACTTTTTCACAATTAATAACACTTTGGTAATTTTAACTCTAAGTAACAAGATATGAAACTTAGATGCGCAGCGGAATAATTTAAACAACCAAGTGTTACGTAAAATCAAAGAGATATATCACATGCAATATGATGGATATGCTTGGTATGACTCAAATAATAAGTATGCAAATTTATGCTCACATGCATACGTGAAAACTGTTGGAAAAATTAGCTTAAAATGGCATAAAATGGCATATTAAGTGGCTATTTTGTGGTACAATTATCAGTGGGGTCCACTTCCGATTTGGGTCGGGTCAAAGTGGATTCGGATTCTTCGGAGTAAGACGAAGAGATTGATATATTGTACGCTCAAAACGGATAATGGGTGAATGAGATATTGATTCTCAAAGTAGACCCATTTAAGTTGGGAAATGAAGGGAAAATGTAGGACTTTGTCCCACATTGGTTTGGAAACAAGATTTGCCCCCCTTATATACATGAGCTCTTTTCAAGCTTGTAGAATTGTATAGCATAGAGGCTCTCTCGCGCGCGGGGGGGTGCAAATCAAAATCCAACTAGAGGACATAAAAAAGGCTTGAAATCAAGCCCGAGCTCGTGTGCGCCGGCACCTGCGGGCACGAATGTCGTCCGGAAATGGGCTGGCCTTGCGGGCTAAGTTATGCCTAACTTCGGTATCGTTTTCCATCTGTTATAGTCACTTGGCTCGGCCAAAACCGAGAACACCACTCTCGTGCTACAGAGAGCACGAGAGGTTGTGGTGCATGGCTCGGCCAAAACCGAAAACACCACTCTCGTGCTACAGAGAGCACGAGAGGTTGTGGTGCACCGAGAGCAAAACTCTCGTGCAACGGTGAACACGAGAGGTGTACTCTCGTATTGCACCATAGCACGAGAGGTGTACTCTCGTGGTGTACCATAGCACGAGAGCGTGAACTCTCGTGCACCCCAACGGTCTGAAACCCGAAAGTGCAGAAGATTAAACTCATCTGTTACGGAATTAATACTGTTTTAATTCCAATTTTTAAATTCTGAGTTTAATCCTACTTAGTGGTGACCGTTACAGGTGTTACACAATTGGTTTTAACACCAATTTAATGGCCATGTTGAATGCTATCACTCCAACATCTCTATATAAAGAGAGGTAGAGCAGTAGCTTTTTACACACAGTGAGAAACAAAAGGAATTCCAGTAGCTTTTCATCTCAAAACTCTGCTTCTACTCTCTTCTTTTAGCCAACCAGTGTTCTAAGCTTTGCTTTGTTTGCCGGGTTCCTTGTTTAGGTGCTTAAACAAGGAATCGAAGCACGTTTTATCCTGGGAAACCTAGGCTACAACGCTCCTAGCACTTGTGGGAGGTAGCAAATAAGGTTTTAAGGAAAAGAACCTTGTGTTCGAACTTGTGCTAAACCTATACCCAAACACTCAACCTTTTCCTTCCCAATTTTCTGTTTTTCCCATATAATATTAATCTTTCCGTAGGATTATTATTATTTTGGGATTTTCAACCATATTACCCAACAATCTTAAAACCTTATATCGTTTCCCGTTGGTTGTTAATCTCTAATTTCCTAGAAGAAATGGAGAATCCAGTTTTGCCAGCTCTCGGGGAGGAGAATGTTGTTGAGAACAACAGTGGTGGGAATGGCAATAATGTTGCTAATTCCCAAGCTACACCAGTGAACATTAGTTCACAAGATGGTGGGAGCACCGAGGGATATATTCCCATGACTCGGGTACCTACGGTACCGAGTGGTTCGGCCGAAAGACCGGAGAAATTCACCGGTATTGGATCGAATTTCAAAAGGTGGCAACAAAAGATGTTGTTCTACCTAGCAACTCTCGGCTTGGCGAGATTTTTGACCGAGAAGGTTCCCGAATTAAGGGAACAAGATGCCCAATCCGTGATGGCAGTTGGCTATTGGAAGGATTCGGACTTCCTATGCCAAAACTACATCCTAAATGGATTGTGTGATGCGTTATACGATGTATATCGCAAGATTGGCACAGCAAAAGCGCTGTGGGAAGCTTTGGATCATAAATACCGAAGTGAGGATGCCGACGCAAAGAAATTTGTGGTTGGCCGATTCCTTGACTTCAAAATGGTTGATTCCAAAACCGTGCTAAGTCAGGTTGAAGATTTACAACTAATCTTTGATGAAATCCGTGACGAAGGCATGACGTTGAGTGAAGCCTTCCTAGTGGGATCTGTTATCCACTTGCTGCCTCCAGGGTGGAAGGACTTCAAGAATTACCTTAAGCATAAGTGAAAGGAAATGAACCTGGAGGACCTGATCCAGCGACTCCGAATTGAGGAGGGGAACATGACGAATGATGGAAGAAATTCTGTCACTATTGGTGCTAAAGCCAATGTTGTGGAGCATGCTAAAAACTCCAAGAAGAACAAGAAGGACAAGCAAAATCTAGGTCCGAAAGGAGGCATTACCAAGAAGAAATTTCATGGAAAATGCTTCAATTGTGGCAAGACTGGCCACAAGTCCTCTGAGTGCAAAGTTCCAAAGAAGAAGAACAAGAGTTCTGAAGCCAACATGGTTGAGGAAAGCAATCAGAAGGAGGTCGAGATTAGCCTTTCGGCTATGGTGACCGAGGTGAACCTCGTGGACTCTAACCCACGAGAGTGGTTCATCGACATTGGTGCAACAAGGCACTTGTGTTGCAACCGAGAAATGTTCAACACCTTTGAGACCGTTGAGGGCGAGAAGGTTTGGATGGGAAACTCTGCTCAGTCTGCTATGGAAGGCGTGGGCAAGGTGGTTCTGAAGATGACTTCCGGGAAGGAACTGACGTTGAACAACGTGCTGTATGTTCCAGAGCTGAGGAAGAATCTGGTGTCTGGCTCACTGTTGAACAAGCATGGCTTTCGCATGGTGTTCGAGTCAGACAAGGTTGTTTTGTCTAAGTTAGGAATGTTTGTAGGCAAAGGTTATGTAACTGATGGGCTTTTTAAGCTCAATGTAATGCCTATTATCATGAATAAGAGCAAAGTTACTTCCGTTTACTTGCTTGAGTCTTCCAATTTGTGGCATGGTAGACTAGGTCACGTTAATTATAATTCTATACGTAGATTAATTAACATGGACCATATTCCTAATTTTCAAATTAACACAAATAACAAGTGTGAAATTTGTGTTGAGGCAAAATTAACGAAAGTACCTTTCAAATCGGTTGAAAGGGAAACTGAACCACTAGAATTAATCCATAGTGATTTATGCGATTTTAGATCGATACAAACGAGAGGTGGTAATAAATATTTTATCACGTTTATCGACGATAGCACACGTTATTGCTATGTGTATTTGCTGAAAAGTAAAGACGAAGCCTTGGAAAAATTCATTCTTTATAAGAATGAAGTTGAAAACCAACTTAATTGTAAAATTAAGAAAGTTAGAAGCGATCGAGGTGGTGAGTACGAAGCACCTATTGGTGACTTCTGTGCGAGTGTAGGTATAATACACGAGCGTACTGCACCTTACTCACCTCAATCGAACGGTGTTGCCGAACGAAAGAATCGTACATTGAAAGATATGATGAATGCGATGCTTATAAGTTCGGGCCTACCTCAAGACGCGTGGGGAGAGGCTATTTTGACAAGTAATTACCTTTTAAATAAGGTACCCCACAAGAAGCTTGATAAGACTCCTTATGAGCTGTGGAACGGTAGGAAACCTTCCTACCAGTACCTGAAAGTGTGGGGGTGTCTTGCCAAAGTTTTGGTGCCAACACCTAAGAAAGTAAAGATAGGTCCTAAGACGGTGGACTGTATCTTTATTGGCTATGCACATAATAGTAGTGCTTATCGGTTCTTAGTACACGAGTCCCATAATCCGGACGTACACGAGAACACGATAATAGAATCAAGGAATGCATCTTTCTTTGAAAATGTATTTCCTTGTAGGTCCAATGAGGGACCGAGGTCGTCAAAACGAACATTTGACGAAGCTATGGATAATGAAAGTGGGGAATCCGAGAGAGAACCCGAGCTCGAGCCAAGACGCAGTAAGCGGGCGAGAGTTGGAAAATCATTCGGTCCTGATTTTCTAACTTACTTGTTGGAGTACGATTCGAGTACTCTAACTTGTTTATTAGAAAATGAACCCGATTTTCTATCTTGTTTGATAGAAAATGAGCCTCGAACGTACGGAGAAGCCGTGACTTCTACATAAGGACCAATGTGGAAAGAGGCTATTAAAAGTGAAGTGGATTCTATTTTACAGAATCACACTTGGAAACTTGTTGATCTTCCTCCGGGTAGTAAACCCTTAGGATCCAAGTGGGTCTTTAAAAGGAAGATGAAACCCGATGGTTCCATCGAGAAGTATAAGGCTAGGCTTGTAATCAAGGGTTACAGGCAACGCGAGGGCCTTGATTACTTCGACACATATTCTCCTGTGACGAGAATAAACTCCATTAGAATGATACTTGCTATAGCCGCGCTGCGGAATTTGGAAGTTCATCAAATGGACGTTAAAACCGCTTTCCTAAATGGCGAACTAGATGAGGAAATCTATATGGAACAACCCGAAGGGTTCGTGGTTCCGGGCCAAGAAAGGAAAGTGTGTAAATTGGTTAAATCGCTATATGGTTTAAAACAAGCGCCTAAGCAATGGCACGAGAAGTTTGACCATGCGATGTTGACTAATGGATTTAAAATAAACGAAAGTGACAAATGTGTCTACGTTAAAGAAAAGATAGACGGTTATGTCATTCTTTGTTTATACGTAGATGACATGCTCATCGTTGGTAGTAACGATCGGATGATCAAGTCTACCAAAAACATGTTAAATGCGAGATTTGACATGAAGGATATGGGTTTGGCTGATTTAATCCTCGGGATTAGAATCATTAGAAGACCTGATGGTCTGGTGTTAAGCCAATCACATTATATTGATAAAATCCTTGAAAAATTTAACAAGGATAATCATCAAGGGACTAGGACGCCA